ACAGCTGCGTCAAGAGTAAGGGCTAACTGGCTTTCTGAAGAAACTTCTAGTATTTAAACCTTTTCCTCACACCAAATATACAATAGTAACTCCAACCAGCCTCTTCTATTTTCCTCATTAAAATAAACAAACTCTCTTATCACTAGAAAATATCTGAAACCCCACTCCCTAGTTGCCATCTGCTAGCTGTGTGACAGTGAACAGTGACCAGGTTTTGGAGTGTTTGCTGTCGTATACCACACACTTGTATATCCACCTAAATGAAGCCACTGTGGACCAATTATGAAAGATGTATTATTCCATTTGGAGTTACTCACTTGGGGATCTGACTTTTGGATTTGTTTTCCTCTGAGGTTTTTTGGAAGTACTAGTGGGATAAAGTTTAAATTAAATTGGGACCATCAGAATCCCAAATTCAACTATTCAGTAGCACACATTTAATATTGATTTAATATGATTATGTGGGCTGCTTGTAACCACAGCTGTCTAACAGCACTTATACACAACGTACATTTATACATTCATTACCAGTTAATGTTAGAATATGAAGCAAGCCAAAATACAGCAAAATAATCCACACAAATATTTAGCTCTGAAAGCTACAGAAAAGTGTAAGAAGTAAAAGCTGGAATTTTCATTTCACAAAGACAGTTCAGGTGGATGGTTTCATGAATCACACCTAAAATCTAGGGTACCACTGGATAAATAATTACAGTATTACAGAATATACAAAGCAACTGACAAACCAGCCGCTATGCTACTGACAAAATGAAGTGCAACAATGCCAGTTGTCTTTGAGGATGACCTTCTATTTCTGGCAGCTTCCACAGCCAGGTGCATCAGCCAGTTCAAATATCCTGCTGAACTTTGGAAAACAGGTATGCCTGTCTTAGGGCACATCACTGCTGTTTCTAAAATAGCTATTACAGCTATAACTACAAATCCAGAGGAGTGGAAAAGAGTGAGGTGTAGTCTTCTAATCCTACTAACCACCACAGAGAGGATTATTGACAATATTAGCACCGTTCCCTGCTGTGATTTGTGAGCACAAGCAAGACCCAGTGCTAGGGCCCTGCTCAAAGCTGACCACAGCAAAGTCCAGCCAAGTTTGCTTATTTCAACAGTGCTGAGTACATGGACTTAATTAAAAAAAAAAAAAAAAAAAGTGGGCGATAAATAAAGTAGGATTGTGCAAGAGAATGTGTCATCAACAAGTGATCGATAGCATCCCTAGAGTATTTCAGGACATGGGGCCGTCTGTGAGAACTTTTTGCCCGAAGGACCCGCTGAGGGAAGAGGGTCAGTGTTACTCTACCTGAGGCAGAAACGGACCTTACAGCCTCCAGGGGCGATGGCAACCACGCCAGCAGCCAGCTCGTCCGAGGGCACAGCAGACTTAATGGCTAATGAAGTCATCCACATTTTCCTTTGTTGCTTGTGGTCTGCTGAATGTTCACTTGTGTTACTGCAGGACACAAGTTTATGAAGTTGATGTGTTGTTATCAAAGCCTTTTAGTGTGATCATTATACACCTTTTTTTTTTTTTTTTTTTT